GTACTCTACCATAAACACTTCCAGAGATACTTATTATGAAAAATTCGGTTTATATGGGAGGTGCCACGCTCCATTTTCAAATAGTCCGAAATTTTATTCATGAGTATGCGATAGATTTCTACTCTACCATGAACATTTCCAGAGATATACAGTATGAAAAATTCGGTTTGTATATGAGGTGCCACGCCCCTTTTCCAATAATTACAAATTTTCTCCATGAGTATGTGATTGATTTCATATATTTCCGTACCAAGTTCAAAAATTTCTCCAATTTTTCTGAAGAGTATGCGATTGATTTCATATACGTAGTATCCCCATACCAAGTTCCAGTACTCTAGCATGAATACTTCGGTGTTCGGTGAAAATTCGGTTTATATGGGAGGTACCACGCTCCGTTTTCAAATAGTCCGAATTTTTCCTCATGAGTATGCGATTGATTTCATATATCTCCGCACCCAGTTCCAGTGCTGTACCATGAACACTTCCAGAGAAATGCAGTATGAAAAATTCGTATTGTATGGGAGGGCCCACGCGCTTTTACAATAGCTCCAATTTTTCTCAAGAGTATGCGATTGATTTCATATACATAGTATCCCCATACCAAGTTCCAGTACTCTAGAATGAACACTTCGGTGTTCGGTAAAAATTCGGTTTATATGGGAAGTGCCACGCTCCCTTTTCAAATAGTCCTAATTTTTCCTCATGAGTATGCGATTGATTTCATATATCTCCGCACCCAGTTCCAGTGCTGTACCATGAACACTTCCAGAGATATGCAGTATGAAAAATTCGTATTGTATGGGAGGGCCCACGCGCTTTTACAATAGCTCAAATTTTTCTCAAGAGTATGCGACTGATTTCATATACATAGTACCTCCATACCAAGTTCCAGTACTCTACCATGAACATTTCCAGATATATAAAGTGTGAGGTGCCACGCTCCTTTTCCAATAGCTCCAATTTATCTCCATGAATATGTGACTGGTTTCATATATTTTCGTACCAAGTTTAAAAATTGTACCATGAACGCTTCCACTACTTACTTTAGTTAGGATTAGACATGGTTAGCCAAGGATTAGAGACATGAGCCTCTTAAAAATAATAAGGGATACATTTTTTTTTAATTTTAAGTTGCGTCGTTATTGCATCGGCATGTGAATTCATATATTTCGATAATGAAATAAATTCGAGCATAAATACGATTTTTAGTTACATAGACATATTATTTTTCCTGTTATCAATACATATTTTGAATCTGAGGATAATCGGGCCATAAAGCCGATTTTTAGTAATAACTCGACTCCTACGCCACCTGGCGGCTTGTATTTTTTCAGTGGTATTGTCTTTCCTATTGTCAACACACATCTCAAATATGAGGCGAATCGGACCATAAATACGGGTTTTACTAATAACTCGACTCCAGCGCCACCTAGCGGTTGTTTTAATAGTTATTCTGCTATTCGGATGGTAGACAAATTCAAGAAACAAATATCATAAAAATCGGTCCAGCCGTTCTTGAGTTATAAATGGTGTAACTAACACGACTTTGTTTTATATATATACATATCATTTCCTGCAAACAAAAGCTCACTTCACAAAGCTATGATCGATCAGCTGTTGAAATTGAACCAATTGTCTAGCGTCTTGAAGGAAAAATTGCTACAGTACTTCCCGCTTATAAGCGTTCCCCGCTCTTTAGCGTCGATTTTACGCCACATATAAAAATGGTTCGATTTCCCCGCTTAATTGATCCCTGCTTATATGATTCTCCGTTTAAAAGCACCAGTATTTTAATACAAAAGTATACTTTCATGAGTAAATTTCCTCGGATATAAGCTTAGGGCAAAAATTTCAACGCACCCAACTTTTTGACGATGAAATTTTACAAGAAATATTAAATTCGTCATCAGATTTATCCGTAGATGAAGCCGAAGAAGTAGTATCAGAAAGTTGCCAACTACGAAAGAACAACTTCATGCAATTAACATTTTAAAGAAAATCTTTGAGACAAACAATCTATTTCTGAAAGAACTTCATGCTATGGATTTATTAAGAAACAAAAAGTCAGTCAAAATTAACGGATTTTTTTAGGACAGATATTTAATAACGACATATAATAGCCCTGTTCGCGTAGGTACTATCCAGTAAATCCAGTACTAATTTTAAAGGTTTTTTACTGGAAGTCGTTTTCGTACCCAAAAACTTGCAAGAAACTAGCAAAAGAGGGGAAATTGAGAGAGCAAAAATGACAGCTGAACTTGCAAGTTTTACTGGATTTTTACTGGATAACAGTAACAAAATAATTTTTTGTGGAGCTTTTAGAGTTGCAATTGACAAAATAAACCTTTTTAACCCTCTAGTAGGCAGAACCGCCTCCAGACGGTCGTTAACTAAATACCTTTTTAGTGCACCTATAATAATTTTTTTCTATATTCGTAAGGCACGATCTTTAGACAAACATCGTACCCTTACGGCGAAGTAAATTTTAATCCGTTATGTCAATCCTTTTTATTTTAATCGGCAGTTGAATTACAGATTTTGAAAACGGGGTTAAAATTAATTATTTCTTGCTATTTAGTAATTTCGTAATTAAAGAAACTTTTTCTTTTGAAAAATTTTTTGATATAAAAAAGTTCGATGGATTTCGTTGTTAAAAGCACCGTATTTTAATATAAGTTTTATAATTATGTCACCATTCGAAATGGAGAAAATTGCTTTCGAACACAGACCGTCTACAGACCGGCTTGCCGACATATAAAACCCCAGTTTTGCATTTTTGACCGTCTGCGGACGGCATTGCCGGTTCGTAGGTCAACATTGTGTAAGAGAAAGCTGAAAATATGTGTAAGTATATCGGCGAGCCCGTCTCCAGACGGTCTTGGGTTTTCTCCCCTGTAGGAAAAAGTTACTGTCACAGATCGAAATGGACATCAGTTTTGGATTTCTCGTGCTAAAATCACCCATTCCTGAATTTTTCAACTCATAAAAAAATTGGCCTACTAGAGGGTTAAATATAAAATAAGATGGAAAATACTAGTTTTCTAAGAAAATTACATGGAAAAATAACAAATTAATCAGCTGTTCATAAAACTAGCAGCTTCTTGCTGGTTTTGCGTTTTCGTACTTTCTTGCATATTTCACTCATTGGGAGTAAATATTGGCTTACTCTCTGAAATTTGGTTACTGGAAAGTTACTGGATATTTTTTGCTGGAGAATTCGAAAACACAACTAATGTAGTGCTTTGTTTTGTGATTTAGCTGGGAAAGCTACTTTTTGTTATTAATTCTAAATGTTTTTTGTTTCATAACAACCGAGTGAATTTAATTTTTTTAACTATACATAAATATACTTAATCACCAAAATAAGTACGTATGCATTATACATCTATTTCTAAAAACACTGTTTCAATAATTTATAAAGTGTGTGTCACTGTATTGTTTGAATTCTCATACACATATGCGTGTTTGGCCTCAGAGCGCAAATCCTTTTAGAAGCGTAGAGGACGCTTATAAGCTGGTTTTCGTTAAGGTTTCTACGGTTATAAGCGTCGAAAGTTGTGCATTTTTGACGACGCTTATAAGCGTGTGTGAGTGATTTTTTCTCTATATGAATTAAATTTAACCACAATGTTATGTCCCAAAAAAACGTTTGCAAACCTTGGAATGTACATTTTTATTTAATAAATAATCCGCAGCCCTTTCACAGGTTTCCGTGTTTATTTCTCAAAATACTGCCCTCCGACTAAGCAAATGTTCAACACTTATACTAACATTGCAGGACGAAAAGTAACATAGCATAAAGCTACAATATAAGAAGGCAAAATTTTTCAGTATGAAGACAACCCCATATGTAATTGATCTCTATTTTATATTTAAGTAATACAAACCTTTGTTAACCAAAAAAAAACAAATCATGACTTCACTGGTCTTTCTACTCCTTTATTTAAATAAAACATGGGAATTTTATTTAACCTTTAGCCTTTTTTAGCCGTTATTTTTTTGCCAATTTAGCCGGTCTGCCCAAAATGTTCTGGCAACACTGATTTTTATATGCACACTTATGTTTTTGTTTTCTCTGCTTATCAGTCAATCGCATCCTTTTCTTGTACGTAGTAAACTTCACTTTCCGTAGAGTCCTCCTTCATGACAGTAATGTCTCCATAGTCGTATGCATTGTTTTGTTTGCTTGCAGACTAGTTTGAGTGCCTGAAGAGGAAATCAACTTACATAAGTTAAATTTCAATATTGACATTATTTTGTCTGCTGACTAGCCATTCATATCGAATACTAGCATCAAGCTTAGAGTAATAATGATAATAATAGTAATAAGTAGGGCTCGGAATCTCATGCAAACGCATTTTTTTATTGGACATTTTCAAATGGAAATGGTGAAGCTATTTTTATAAATCATGGAATTTCCTTTGAAATGGAAGTCATGCCGAAAAAACGTCTTTAGTTCTATACACGACATTTCACGCCCCGGTATTCGAGCCACTACACGTATAATCAAGGAGAGATTTGTTTGGCCTAATATCCACAAGGACGTCGCAGTCTGGGAAAAAATGTTCATACCTTGCCAGAAATCAAAAATCCAACGACACAATAAGTCAACACCTTTACGATATGAAATCACTGAAACATGTATCGACCATATCAACGTCGATATCGTCGGCCCGTTACCACCTTCAAACGATTACCGATACCTACTCACGATCGTAGATCGATTCTTTCGTTGGCCAGAAGCGACAACCATTGCCACCACGCTTAGGGAAAAATGGATCGCACGATTCGGTATACCTTCCAGGATAACAACAGACCAGGGCCGGCAGTTCGAAAGCCAACTCTTCAAACAACTCAGTGAGAGGTTAGGCATACGACACCTACGCACTACAGCATACCACGCTTAATCCAATGGATTAGTCGAGCGTTTCCACCGCACCCTAAAAGCTGCTTTAAAAAGCAAAGATCGACTTAACTGGACAATCGAGCTACCCTTGATCATGCTCGGATTTCGCTCAACATTGAAAGAGGATATTCAAGCGACACCAGCAGAGCTAGTCTACGAAAAAAGCCTACGACTACCAGCCGAGTTTTTCACTGAACCGGAACCTCATCTAAACGAAGCAGAGTTTATCAAGGAGTTCAGACGTGTAATGAACAAGATCCGCCCGATACAGACAGCGCATCACGTGACATCAAAGCCATTCGTACAAAAAGAGCTTTGTCTCTGTAACCAAGTATTTGTAAGAAACGACGCTGTCGGGCCACCCTTGCAACAACCATACGACGGACCTTTCGCAGTAATAGAACGCCATCCGAAATATTACACGCTGGATATCCGGAACAAGCCCAAGAAAATATCGATAGACTGGTTGAAAGCAGCATTTACCGACGCAAATAGCGCAGACGACGCGAACGACACTCACGACGAAAACAGCGAACTTCTCCAAGCCGTAATCAGCGACCATCAAGAAAAAACCACAACACGAGCGGGAAGAAAAATTCGTTTTCCTAGCTGTCTGTGTCTATAAATTCACACACAGACTGTAAGGGGGCTGGTTGTGGCGTACTAGTCAGCGGCCTCTTAGAACACCAAGTGGCATCACCCACATTCACTTGGAGATCCGGCAATACCAACACTTAAATGTCAACTTGGCAACCCTGTCTCGTGTCAAGCAACCATTTTGTATCCTTTACTTTTCCCCTTTTCTGTTCATCCTTTTCATAAGACTAGACGCACTTGAATAAAGATTTTAAGTAGATAAAATTAATAAACAAAAATCTAGTCAATCCGAGGTATTATAACAAAAGGAGCTAAAGAGATATGTTTTCCCATAAGTTCCAAGTATCGCGACCTCGGTCCAGATCTGATCATACTAGCTACAAAATATAAAAAAAAAAACATAGATACATATCAGATGATCGTACCTGATCAAATATGCGTATTTTAGTTTTAAACTATGCACCATATACATTGGTGCGAGTTCACCCAAATCAAAGGCCAAAAAAAAAATGATTTTTTTCCTAGGTGTGGATTTAATGTTCAGACCAATGACCTCTTTTGGATNGGAAGAAAAATTCGTTTTCCTAGCTGTCTGTGTCTATAAATTCACACACACTAGTCAGCGGCCTCTTAGAACACCAAGTGGCATCACCCACATTCACTTGGAGATCCGGCAATACCAACACTTAAATATCAACTTGGCAACCCTGTCTCGTGTCAAGCAAACATTTTGTATCCTTTACTTTTTCCCTTTTCTGTTCATCCTTTTCATAAGACTAGACGCACTTGAATAAAGATTTTAAGTAGATAAAATTAATAAACAAAAATCTAGTCAATCCGTGGTATTATAACAAAAGGAGCTAAAGAGATATGTTTTCCCATAAGTTCCAAGTATCGCGACCTCGGTCCAGATCTGATCATACTAGCTACAAAATATAAAAAAAAAAACATAGATACATATCAGATGATCGTACCTGATCAAATATGTGTATTTTAGTTTTAAACTATGCACCATATACATTGGTGCGAGTTCACCCAAATCAAAGGCCAAAAAAAAATAATTTTTTTCCTAGGTGTGGATTTAATATTCAGACCAATGACCTCTTTTGGAAGCTAATCTCTGGTAAATACTTCAATTGAACAAATATCAATACACACGCGTACATAAATAAATAAGGATTAATTATCTTCTGCAACAAAAGATTAGTCAGATACAATCAGATATAAATTGTTACCCCAAGCCATACTAAAGTGGACAATCTAGACCAAACAAAGTTCAAATTGCGGCTGATAAGAAATACAAACCTAAGAATAGGGTGCGTACAAAATTGTGTTACACATTTGACTGTTGTACACAGCGGCATGTACCCACTCTTGATTGATTGATAATTTCATCCAATTTACTGCGGCCACGCGAACTGATATAAAGCATAGCTATCAACGAAACATGCATTTAACCGCACATACATACGTACCTACATATGTACGTATCTATAAGTAGGAGTACAAGAGAAGCAATAAATGCACCTTGCGCCCAATTCCCCACTCGATGCATATTGGCTTTGTTGTTCTTCGCAAACCGGCAAGCGATTGTTCCCAACTATCTGCGAGAGACTTGGCTCAATCAACACAGCTCGTTATGCTGGAAATAAATTTCGTTGAATGTAAATAAAAAGGGGGAAAAAATATGTATGTATGTATATCCAGAATTTAGTTTATCATATAAAACCCAGGTACGCTTTGAATGCAAACATTTACCGATTGTTCACCATATAAACTACGAATGCTGCTTTGTGCTTTCGACAGGCAGACGTGCCCTCCTGTGCAATCATCAATAAAGTCAATCGGAGAAAAAAGAGGGGAAATGCCTCATATAAATCTCGTCTAGCCATTTTAAGGATTAATTGTGGCGCTGGGCCATTGATGTATTACGTTATTTGAAATTTCTGGAATTCCCCGCTTGCAAATTAGATTAGTTTGATTGAAGATTTGACAGTTTTTGATAAATTTTCGAATTTCTTTCCATCTTCGCTGAGCTTTTTTCCCCGACAATGTTGTTAAGCGCAGCTGTTGGGGCGGAACTCATACTTTGAAAATGTTGATATCTACTCGTATTTATTTGATTCTATATCGATCGCCACAGAGAAAATTGGGCTACAACGATATCAACAAACTTTATTATGTACATGTATGTAGGGTTTATTAGCTGATATGTAATAGGAAGGGGAAACCGCTAATAAGTTCACGCTGTGTTCAGGCACAAAAGAAGCCGTAGTAGAAGGGAGTGGTGTTAGGAAAAGAGACACTGACGTCTTTTGAAACGAATTACCAGATAGGTTTCACTGCGGTTCCATTTGAAATTATCAAAAAAATTATATTTTCTTGAGGCTAAGTTGGCAAAACTTTCAGAATTTCTTGTATATGTACGTATGATCTTACTTATAGTAAGCTTTTAGGCGGGATTTCGATAAATACATATTTTTTCGGCACTTCACAAATTGTTTTCCGAATTCAGGAAAAATAAAATGCAGTTCGAAATTTTATATTATCATTGTCTGTTATATCTGACGGAATTCCAATATAGGACCACCTGCTACAGAATATGTAAACAAATTAACAAATATGCAATGTTGAATATAAATTAAATAAATACAAATGCAAAAAAATAAAAATAAATAAAAAATTAACAAAATCTGTTTATTGATATTTTATTTCCAAAAGTAGTTACTTAAAATTTAGTTGACATGCAGAGGTATCCAGGTCTGATTTTTTTGCAGCCATCGCCCCATAAAAGTAGTTAGCTTTTTTCGAACAAAATATACAGTTAATAGTCAGCACTACTGTTCGCGTAAACAGACTAAGGTTATGTATAAGCTAACGTCATTCCCCGTAGGAAATGTTTGCGTAAGGCGATGTCGAAATATTAAAATAATTTTTTTGGAAGTTGGTAGTCCTAACCACCCCGTAAATGGTTGCATAAGTCGTTTTTCAAAATACATATATTTAATGCCTTGTTTATACCGACACATAAAGCGCTTTGATGCAGTTCGCTGTGGTTCAAAACCAATGCTGCCACTATTTTCGAGTAAAAAAATCCAGAGACGGCTAGAAAAAAGCTAAATTAGTAAAAATTTGTGAAGTGGGCCACCATTTTTTTAAAGGTCTAGCTTTTTTGTACAATTATCTGTTCAAGCTTCTCAACACCAAATGATTCATTTGGCTGTGCGAAAGTCCAATTTTGTAAAGGCAGTTTTATATTATTTTTTGTTGCCATTCTTTAGGGAATACTCCAAAATAACAGAAACTTCACTTTGTTTTTGTAAAATAAAGAACATCGTTAGACAGCAATAAACCAAAGTTACACTTTCGAAACGTTATTGACACGTTGTTTGCGCAAGAGGTTTATTTTGTTAGTTTCAAGTGCATTTTTTTGTAAAGTTCAAATATATAAAGGAAAGTTTTAAATGGAAAACAAACCTATAAGTGAGAACCTATGTCCCAATTTAAAAAAGTGACTTTTTATTATTTGGTTGCAAAAAAACTGACTTTGCATAACCTCAAAAATTTTCTGATTTAAATATTTCCATTTATGATTTTATGTAAGCTTTTACAATTTTGTTAACTTTCGGCAAACAAAATGGAAAAAGAAATAGATAAACAAAGATGTAATGAGTTGATTTTATTTTACTTAACCCGCCCTTTTCAAGAAAAACGGTTTTCTGTGGGCTATCATTCTATTACAAAAGGCGAGTAGCTTGAGGTTTTTTTTTTGGTGATAAACTTTTGGGTGATAAGACCCACCTAAATCACCAACATTTTTTGGTAATAAATAGTCCATTTTAATGGTGATAAATAGTGAAAATGGAAGTATGTGATAGCAAAAAAAATAGCAGATTCAATCTGTATAACATTTCATCTCCTGTAGCGTAGCCATGGCAATGTAACAAAGACACTTGCGCCGATTCGCAAATACCACTGATGAGCAGCCTTCGCAAAAAGGCAAATCCTTGAGAGAATTTACGTTTTGCAATTTCGAAATTTTTTACTCAAAGTGAATAGAGCTTTGAACATTCTTTTCACAAATTAGTTTCAAAAACATTGCTATTCTTTTCAGGAAGTTACCAGCGATTTTTGGTAAATGTGTCACAAAGCAGCATTTGCATTCTGAATATAAATAATATCGGTGGAGAATTTGGGAATACTGAGACCCCAAGAGAAAATGAAGTGCTTTATGAAGACTCACTGCTTTAGGAATCTCTCCTCAAGGCATATCAGCGAGACATGTAGTAAATATTTTTATTTTTTTTAATTCAGGAGTTTCGATAATGCCATAATTATTCGCTAGAAGAAACCATTTATGTACATGTGACCATACCTGTTTTATTATGTAGCTTATTTTAGGGGGGAGGGGGCTAGGTATGGTAAGAAAATAACTGGTGTCAAAACCAAGCTAATTGGACAATGTTTTTGAGCACTACTTAAACACATATAATCATCATTTGAACATACAAAACAGCAGAAAAACCTGTTTTACGAAAGCCAAGTCATTTTTTCACATTTCTTTACTGCCTTTATACTTTTTTTAACGTTTGCCATCTTTTTACATTAAAATAATGTAATATTTTAGCTGCTATTAATATCGCACAGAAAAAGTAATAATTTGACCTAATGTGCAACGGTAAAAGAAAAATACAAGTTTCACAACTTTTCGAAATCTGAATTATTTTGGAAATTATGGCTATTAACGTTTTTCAAAATTGTTTAGATTTTAATTGTTTTCTCGTGACCGGTAATACCGAAAAATGCAACCTTCTCTTTGCCCTCTATGCACAAACACCAAGAAGAGGGCGAGGACAAGGCAACATTTTTGTAGAAACGAAAACGTCATTAAATAGTAAAGAACGATGGCGATTTCTTCCCATTTTTTATTTTTTATTTGGTCATAATTTT